ACTTTCTTTCCATAAAGTGAACTTATTAACCAAGGCCTCCACACTGAAGCTGAATGCAGGCTGAAATGGGACTGCTTCTTGATATAATTTGAGAAGTACCACAAAGTGTGCCTATCCCAAACTTGTCCTTTCCTCGGTCTGGGAAGTCACACTGGGCCTAGATAATTCGTAGCTAGAGTCACTCGTGTGGGCTCAGATCATGTTATGATGGTGAGAAGAGTGGGCTTTGGAGTCAGACAGACCTGAATTTACATCCAAGCTAGTGATATGACTTTGGGCAAGTCACTTCCCCCTACAGGCTTCATGATAACAACCTCATAGGGTTCTTGTGAGACCCAACTGAGGTAATTGGGCAAAGCCCTTGGCCCATGGTAGACTCTGAATTAGTGTACTTACTCTATCTTCAGAGTGTCATCTTTGCCACCTCTCCAGAAAGCCTCTGTTAAAATCCAAGTGTGGTTTAGAAGTGAGGTACATCAATAGTACGTAGAATTGCAGAACTAGGAGGTAGCTTGTGGAGAACAGAGCTGGGCCCTGAGCACATGCAACCTACAGGTGAGCTTAACTAAGCCCGGGGTCCCAAGCTCAGGGTACCTCCCTGGGATAGTGCCACCGTGAGGGGCAATAGGATGACTGAGTCCAGGAGGGAGGAGATGGTGCAGCAAGAGCTGGGAAGGGCCTGGGTTACAATACACTTCGGCGCCTACTCAGGAACAAGCTAGGGGGAATTTCTATACAATCTAGGGCAGGGTTTGGCAAACGACAGCCCCCAGGCTAAATCTAGCCCTCCAGCTATTTTTGTAAATAAAGTTTTATTAAAATGCAGCCATACCCTCCATTTGGGTATTGTCTAGTTGCTTTTGTGCTACAAAGGCAGGGTTGAGTGCTTGGGTTGAGTAGTTGAAAAAGAGACTGTATGTCCTACAAAGACTAAGATATTTATTCTCTGGCCCTTTATAGAAAAATTTGCTGGTCTCTGGTCTAGAGGACTTTATTCACATACACTGAGACTACAGTGACTAGGGTCACAAGCCTTAGAGTCACACAGACTTGACTGTGATATGAACTGTGCCATCTAGAATTGGGCAGAGTATACAGCCTGTTCAGCTGTAAATAAACATCAGCCCTGTCTGAGGAGGATTTCCTGCAAGTTTTGGGGTGCTCAGGAGAGGGAAGAAAGCAGTGTCTGTGAAATGTCAGCACCTCACTGGGGGCCATAGTTCCTCCTGAAAGTCAACAGCATGAGGTTTGGGAGGATCTGAGCATGCAGAGGAGGTGAGTCTAAATTTAGACTTTGCAAAGCTGCTTTGTAAACTAGAGCCTCAAGAATCCCAGAAAGGGACAATTGGCACACACCATCTCGTGTCTGGTTTGCCTCCACATGTTAAAAGGTTGGATGTATGAGAGGATAATTAATTGGCCTCAAATAAAATATTTCTGGAGAGTCAGTGAGAGATGAAGCTCCACTGTTAGGAGTCCTGGGGTAGATATTTCTACTCCTGTGTTTGATTCTGATGTTTGTCATGAAATTGTGGGTGTCTGGGTTACCCTTGACAGTTACCTGCCTTCTTCTTGCTGTCACACTTGTGATTAGAAGCAGCTCTGGGCCACCAGCTCCAAATGGAGATTGATTGTGCTTCTCCCTGAAGCTGCATCATGCCAAGAGCTGCCACATTCAATCCTCTGCCCAGGTGGGCACATCCAGATGCCAGGTCTACCCCTCACCGGGACGGATAGGCCCATACCTCTTCATATATCACACAAGCAGTGAACCATTAATTCAAGACTTCTTAGGTAATAGGTGTTTTGTAATCAGTCCACCTGTGGAAAAAGACAAAGGGTTGACAGTAGAAATTATAGAAGAATTATAGAAAGAAACTTATAAAATAAAAAGGGTTGAGAAGAGACAGCAGACTCAAATGGGAACAGAGAAATGGTTAGACGAGGGCTGCCTGGTTAATGTTGAAATTCCTTTTTTTTAAAAATGTATTTTTAGTGATTTCAGAGAGAGGAAGGGAGAGGGAGAGAGAGAGATAGAAACATCAATGATGAGAGAGTCATTGATCGGCTGCCTCCTGCACGCCCCCTACTGGGACTCGAGCCCACAACCCAGGCATGTGCCTTGACCGGGAATCGAACCTTGATCTCCTGGATCCTAGGTCAATGCTCAACCACTGAGCCACGCTGGCCGGGCAATGTTGAAATTCTAAGGGAGGCAGTAATGAAGCAGAGGATGATGCTAAGTGGGTTGAAGTTCAGAAATATTGGTTTGTCTGAGTGGTTGGGGCTTGTTGTGAGAACAGTCCTGCTGAACAAGTTGCATTGGAGCAACAAGCACAGGAAGGGGAGGCTGACTGTCTAGGAAATGTGGGCATCAAAATTATGGAGACAACGATGTTCCTTGGGTACTTCCAATCCACAGTTATTTTCTGAGTGCTACTTTGAGCCCTGGGCTTAAGCTTAAAGTCTGCTTGGGAGATGGGCATGTATTAAAAAGTTAAATAACAGCCCAAATGAGTATATGATTAGTGTCAAATATAGCATATACATGAATGCTACAGGAGTTTGGAAAGGGGAGAAATGTCTCTGAGGACTGGGATGGATGCATCACAGAGGAGGTGAGACTTCATCTGGATTCTGAATGAAGGGCAAGATTTCAACAAGTGGGGAGGAAGCAGGAGAACATTTTAGGAACCGGGAAGGTCCAAGCAGAGAAGCAGGGCAGGAATTGAAAGAGTATACTTAGATGCGCATGGGGAAGGTGGAGAGGATCTGCAAGGTGGTGTGGCACCTGCCCACTGAAGCTGGCAGTGTGTTGGGAAGTCCACTGACACACACACACACACACACACACACACACACACACACATGCACATACAAGGGCGACAGTCCCTCTTTCCTGTGAGGGGAAAAGGAAAGAGTTTTAAAAAATAAATAAAGAACCTCTTAATTATTCACAGATTATCTGCATTGCAGCTGATCTCAAACAAATCCTGCTTTCAGCTTGCTGGTGATGTCATCTCCTCCCTGCTTAGATGCTCATTCCCATCTCTGTTTATAACCCTGTGAGGCCTGGAAAGGGAAGAAGGCTTTAAGTCTCTCCTCATAAAGCAAAATATATAAATATAAATGCCTCTGTTTGCTGTGCCCTTGGGATCCAAACTAGACATATGGGTAGAAAGTGAAAGAAGCTCCAATTTCGGTTCTGTTACCTGCATTGGGCAGCAGGAGTCAGAGGAGGCATGGAACAGGGCACTGGGGTGCCTCTTTTGTTCTCCTGAATTAGATATCCAGGTGGATGGAGTTCACTAAACACAGATGCTAGACCTTAGCTCAGTGGGTGGTCCCAGCACTGACTTTAATTGGCTAGGAATCCTCAGAGTGAATGGTATTCATTTATCATTTCACCAAATGTTTATTGACCCTCTCTATGCTAGGGGCACTGAGCTAGTATTCTCTGAGCCTCAGTGCCCTCATGTATAGAGTGAGAACTTTGTTTCTCAGGGGAGGTGCTGGCATTGGGAGTGGGTATTGATTACTCACTGAGGAGGTGCTCAGCAGGATGGTTAGCAAATCTGGCCCTGCCCATTAAAGGCCAGTAGGGACTCCTCCTCAAATGAGCCAAGGAGGGCAGGATCATCCCAGTTAAGGGCCATTGGACCTGTTTTCTACAATTGCTTTCCAGTCTGAAATTCTGCAAGTCTATGATTATTTTGCTGCTGGGCCCAATAAAAACATGCAGAGTAGAACTGCTGAAGATTTGATGAAACACTAGAATAGTAGGCGCATCTTATTTGAAATGTAAGGGAATTTTCAACAACAGCAAAAATAGGTAACATCTATTGAACGAGTACTATGTCCCAGACCCTTGGCAAATTTCTTTCATTAGAAGTTTTTACAGGGGATCTGATTCTTTACTGTTTCGTATCATTGTGTCCCCTAACTTGACTTCTTAGTTTCAGAGCATTGACTGTTGTTTTGCTTCATTTATCATTTGCAGAGTTGTGCAGAGTTCAGATCTGAAAGTATCCCTACAGGGGACCCTACAGTATGATGGGGATTCAGGAGCAGGCCTGCCTGTATTCACTCCTTTGTTCTGGACACAGTGTTTGTTCTTGTGTGTCCATGGACTTAATAAACTTACAAAACCAGCCCCTTCCTTAGAAGCTATGATATTACTGCGTTTACTTCGGAAGTCTGAATTCATATTGCTAGTTTTGCAGTTTTTTCTCCCCCCTTGGGTCCTATGCCTGTAGTTGGAGTCAGCAGTCACCAGGGAGCAGTCAGGATTGAATCTGACCCATTGCTTTGAAAAGCTAGGTCCCCATTCTCAAAAAGAATACAGTTCACCATGCCAGTCCTGGTGTCACACTAAAAAGTCTGTGCTCTGGTTTGCTGGACAGAGAGTCCCTTTATTAGGGTGGCAATATAATTTACTTGCAATTTCCTATGTATGCTTATGCCTGCCACCTACGTGGAAAGCAAGAGATGCAAATGTAATTAAATTGCTAATTTGAATATTAAGTTATTAAAATATTCAAAGACATTTGCAAAAGAGGGAAGAAAAGGGATCCAAGTAGAAAAACAAGATTATCGATCCTTTATTTTCTGGCCTCTACTAGTTACTTTTACTCTCACCCTTCTTGGCTAGTGCTGATGTGTGTGTTTGGAGAGCTTAAAGAATGAATTTCTCAAAGGTCAAAGCTGATCATTGCCTCCCACAATTTGTGAATGTAAACCTTTGGGGAGCAAGCATTTACATAAAAGGCACACCACTTGATGATCTTATCAAATCAATCCATCTTCTCTCTCTTCCAGGGGACGCTGCACACAGCGGGAGGGGTGGCTGGGTGATGTGAAGCCTGGAATCCCCTGAGCAAGCAGTGTTTCAGCTGGCTGGACAGATCAAATAACACTAGGGCTGGTTAACAAAGACGCGCTGGTGGGAAGGTATTGGAAGCCAGAGTGTGGAAATTTACCCAACGTTATTTCTTTGACAGGGAAGGAGACTCGATCTGAAAGATGCCACGTTCCTGCAGCCTCTCTGAGTCCAGCAGAACACAGTCTCATTCGATGTGGCATGGATGAGGGGGTGACAGAGGATGCTGCCCCCACTGAAGCCTCCAGAGGAGCCTGGCCTGGCAGCTGAGCTCCCCTCGGATTCAGGACTGCAGGTGTAACTTGGTGTAGAGCTCATGGAAGGGCCCTGGGTTTCTCCAGCTTTCTGCACTGATGCTCACCAGGCTGGTTTGGGTTGCAGAATCTAAGGTGAGCTGGTAGAAAGGGGAGCTGGTGGAGGCAGAAAGAAGCCCCTGTTAGCCTCCGGAATCCACTGTTGGAATCCCTTCATTCTGGTCAGGACACAGAGCAGCTACCAAGCTGCCAGAGGCTGTGCTGCAACTGAGCTTCGGACCTCGTCAGTGAAGGAACACAGCTTAGCAAAAGCATTTCAGCCCGAAGCAACTTCTGTTAACAAAGGATTTAAAGGGGAGAGTTTCTGCACCTTTACTTTGTGGTCCATTATGATAGAAAACTTTACATTCACATGGATAATGAGACTGGTTTCTCTTTCCAAGATGCTACCTTTGAAAGAAGCATGAGCCATTCTGAGTGTGGAGGAGGGCTTGGGATACGCAGGAGTTGGTGGACAGCCCTCCCAGTGCAGGTCAAGAAAACAGCATGAGCCTCCAACTTCTGCAGCTCAGCAAGCATGGACATGTGCCACCCTTGTCTCCAGAGAGCTGGTAACAGTGACATCACCGCGAGAAAAAGCATCCCTCAGCCTCAGAACTTGACAGAATGAAGTGTGCTGGGGAAGCCACTAGCTGGGACTTGGCCTTTCCTGACTGCCCTTCAGTCACACGGGCATCGCCTGACCACCACTGAGCCGACAATGGCCGAGAAGGGTGACTGCATTGCCAGCGTCTACGGGTATGACCTTGGTGGGCGCTTCGTTGACTTCCAACCCCTGGGCTTTGGGGTCAATGGGCTGGTGCTGTCAGCCACGGACAGCAGGACCTGCCGGAAGGTGGCTGTGAAGAAGATCACCCTGAGCGACGCCCGCAGCATGAAGCATGCACTGCGGGAAATCAAGATCATCCGGCGCCTGGACCACGACAACATCGTGAAGGTGTACGAGGTGCTTGGGCCCAAGGGCGCCAGCCTGCAGGGCGAGCTGTTCAAGTTCAGCGTGGCCTACATCGTGCAGGAGTACATGGAGACCGACCTGGCCCGCCTGCTGGAGCAGGGCACGCTGGCGGAGGAGCACGCCAAGCTGTTCATGTACCAGCTGCTCCGCGGCCTCAAGTACATCCACTCGGCCAACGTGCTGCACAGGGACCTGAAGCCCGCCAACATCTTCATCAGCACGGAGGACCTCGTGCTCAAGATTGGGGACTTCGGGCTGGCGAGGATCGTGGATCAGCATTATTCACACAAGGTATGTCCAGCTGGAATGGCTGATAGGAGTGGCCCACGGAATCCTCCAGGATGCTCGCAGTGTTCCAGAGAGTATTCCTAGCTCCATGGGACTGGGGTCTGTGTCTCAGGGAGGCTGGAGGGTGCTAGAAAGATCACTGGCCTGAAAAGCTGTGGGGGGGGGCGGGACGGTTCTGGTTCTTGATCTTGGCTCTGCCATATGGCCATGATGAATAACTCCAGGTTGTGCAAGAGGGGGTTGGACTAGATTATCTCTAAGGTTTCTTCCAGCTCCAAACTCTATCGCTTTAAAACTGTGCGGTTGGTGAATTTGCCTCTGGCATCCTCTAACCACCTCCTCTCCCTACTGCCTGCTCAGGACTCCTGATGGGGCTTCCCACCCTCCCATACGCTTATGCTTTTGTTCATCTTGCTGCCTCCTTCTCCCCAGAAAGCTGACCCACTACGTGTCCCATTCTCTCTGTCAGTGGACAAGGGGCACAACTCATCCTCAGTGTCCATTATCTAGCAAATGGCTCAGCTCTCCCAGGTCCCACAATGCCCCGGTCCCTGAATGTGATAAAGCTGTGGGTGTCTGGATGGTGCTATTGAGACCCCATGTGGTGGGGGACTACATGCTCCACCAGCTGCAGAGGTCACAGCTGACCCAGCCATACTGGTGGAGATACTGACACTCCTCTAGACCTCTTCTTACCTAACTCACAGTTCCCTTCAGGAGCTGGAAGTCCTCTAAAATTCTATTCCCTTCACTCCCTGGTTCCTGCCACTTTAGGGGAGCCTCTGAGCTGCTCAACCTGAGCACATGTCACCAGGTACCCCTCACCAGAGCTGGAGGTAGGTGTCCTTTCCAACTTCCTGCCAAAACCTTTGTGCCATAAATTTTTATTAGAATGAAAACATTCCCTAGGAAGTAGGTGTGCCATAAACTGATATGAGCCAAGGGGCTAGCATGGGTCATGAAAGGGAAGGGTAGCTCTGACCTTGAACATGCTTCAGCACCCTATATACCTGCAGCCAGAAGGTCACAAATGCACAGAAAGGCACTGGCCTGTTCGGTGCAGCTGCAGTGGGAGGGTGTCTAGTGGAGGGGGAGGCATGGCTCCCTGTCCCACCCTCACTGGCTGGAGCTTGGGCTCCAGCCCAGGTTTCAGAGCCCAAATCAGCTCAGCTGGCTCTAGCTCCTTGTGCTGCCTTTACCATGAGATTGCCCTCTGCTCCCCTCCTACAGCTAGGCCATCTGTCAGAACGGACGGCCGACTCCGTAGGCAGGAATGTCCATGGTAAAAACAAGTCTTCCTGTCGTCCTAATGTCCTAATGCCCTGTGCTGTTCCTACCTTCTCTTTCCTCTAAGGAGCAATTGAGCCAAAGATTTTAACTCTAAGAGAGTCCATGACACTCTTATTTCTGGGATACAAAAAAAATCACCTTCTGAATTGGAATAAACCAGCACACTGGGAATAATAATAGGACCTTCCTTAATCACAGAGTCTGATTAAGTGAAGTATTACAGGAAAGTGCTCAGAAGATTCCTTAGGAAAGGCAGGGAAGGTGATCTGCTAGAGCAAAGATTGGCTGTAGTAATAATTCCTAGGAGGCTCACGGTGTGAGGAAAGGACAGTATGTGAGGAGGCAGAGACCTGGGCTCATTTCTGACAGTGCTAGCTTGGCACATGAGTGCTCCCCATCTGGGAGCCTCAGTTTGCCCTTCTTGACAGGGATGATAATACGTGCCCTGTCTGTCCCACTGGCTTGTGGTTATGAATCAAAATGGAACATGAATGTAAAGCCCCTTGGAGAATAGCGAGGACCCCATCCATTCATTTCTTGAGTGTTTTCTGAGTGCACACTGGGCCCAGGTCCAGTGCTGGGAGCCGGGGAGGTTCACTGACCACTGGCAGGGAACCACTTTTCCAAATGGGACTTTCATTTTCCTGATACAGGGGAATTTAAATGTTCTGACTTACTCTTCTTGGGCTCTCTTCAAAAAAATTAACTATTGGAGGTTTAAAAGAATCATTGGAGCCAGTTAAAGCCCAGTAGGTGTTCACATCAGCCCTGTGTTTGGCAGGTGCCACCCACCCTTACCTGCTTCCTCCCTCATATACCTTCTGCTTTTAGCTTCCTCCCTTCTCTTCCCTGAGTGACGATGGAAGCTTTATATTTGGTGCTTTTATTTATTCAAAGTGCATTTAAATCAGTTCTCATTTAATCCTCATAATGCTGGGAGGCACTTACGAAAAAGGGTCCATTTTAAAACAGAGACGGTGCACAGCCAGAGTGGCTCGGTTGGTTGAGCATTGTCCAGCGCGTCGAAAGATTGCCAGTTCGATTCCTGGTTGGCACATACCTGGGTTTCTGGTTCGATCCCCAGTGGGGGCACGTATGAAAAACAACCAATTGATGTTTCTCTCTCACATCGATATCTTTCTCTTTCTCTCTCTCTTTCCCCACCTTTCCTCTCCCTAAGCATGTCGTCGGGGAGGATTTAAAAAAAAAGGAAATAATAATAAAACAGAGACCTGGCTTTCTCAAGTTTACTTGGCCAATGGTGGCTGAAGGGGCACTGGAACTTGGGCCTTCTTGTGTCTCAGTGGATGGTCTTTCCATGTGTAATTGTCATGAGGGCTTTCTGGATCCCCAGTTGGAATTAATCTTTCCTTCTTCTGAATTTCCATGTCACTTTCCCCCCATCCCACAACCCAGATCTCCTAGCACTGATGACTAGCCTCTGCTCTGTCTTATGGGCATTTGTATCTGTGTCTTTTGTGCTCTCCTAGGCTGAGAGCCCCTTGATTCCTTGCGGGCCATCTCATGTTATCTTGGTTTCCTCCAGGGAGTCTAATCACTGTGCTTGAAACATGGCCCAGTTGACTTGTTTGGCCATCTTGAACAAATGGAAGACTAGTCATTTACCAGCACCTTACAGATAGGAAGTTAGTTGAGTTCATTAATTCCATGTGGTTAGGTTTGACTCTCAGAAATAGAGCACATACAAGGAAGAGGCATTAAAATGTATACCTTCAAAACTTAAATAGATGAAAAATTAGTGTTTAATTTAAGCACGTGTAATGAAAGCTAATAAATATAAAGCAATCATAGTAGAATCAGAGGGGGGAAAAAAGAGAGAACATAATTCTTCCAGCGAATGGATTGGTCGGGGTCAGATGTGTGTATCTACTCTCCCTGGTGTGCTTGGAGGATGATGTTTACATGAGCTGCTCTAAAATTGACCCCTCCTAAAGTTTTATGGATCCTGCACCCACCTTGAAGAGATCATGCTCACCTGGGCTGCAGCTAATACCTTGGTGTGAGTTACAAAAAAGGTGCCCCTCCTTTCCAGGCTGATTCAGCTCAGTGCTGGGGACAGACTTCGTGATCCAACTTGGGGGCCGGACTGGGCCCCTCGGCCCCTCGGCCAAGCACCACCCACTAGCATCAAGCAGTAGCTGGAATCTCATTCTCCTGGTCATGACTTTCACACTGATGGACAATTAGTCTCCTGAACCTCCACATCCCCTCATTTAGCATAGAATCTGTCACAGAATAGGTGCACATTGTGTTTGGTGAACGAGTTGCCAGAGGAAACTGTCTTCTCTAATGAGCGGCTGGGCGCACTGGGACTCCAGTCATAGTAAGGGAGCATTTTGGCATGTGTCCCCTACCACACCACCCCTAGCGGTCTTGGTCTTTGTGAGGTCCAGAGGGCAACTAGAGTTCCCAGTAGCCCATACTGCCAGGGAGATGGCAGTGGTGGCACTGGGGGTGCTCTCTCAACGGAGGCAGCTTGGGGAGCACTGGCCTCTCTGTGTCATTATTATTCACCTCACTAATTGCTTGACCTCAGGCAAGTCCTTTTCCTTGTGAAGCTTATTAAGAGATCTGTAAGAAGACCTCACAATCATCTATTCATTCCCTTAATTTCACAGATGATAAAACCAAGGCCTGGAAAGGAAAAGAGACCTGCTCAAGGTCACACAATGAGTGGCTGAGCAACAATGCCTGTGTTTTAGCTCCATGTCCACTGATTTTTCTGAGCATCCCTTCTCAATGGTCTTTCCTGCCAAATGGGGTCATCACTCCCATTCTGATTATTTCATAAGATTCTTGTTAGATTCCAATGAGAGCGTGGATATCAAAGTGCTTTCAGATGTAAGCTGAGTCACTAACAGAACTATCTGTCCAGTAAATGCCATACCATAGGATGATGAAAAGGCATACACCCAGATGTCATCCCCCCCCCCC